AGATCAATCAATTAAAAATTTTGTGAATCCGTTTTTCACCTCTGCCAAGCACATGCATTTTAAAATATAGTCTTTTATTTCTAAAATACGGTAAACGGTTTAAAAGAACAATATTAGGTCATCGCTTCACTCAGTTCGCAAGAATAAAAAGAAAAGTTTTGAAACTTAAAAAGGCTCATAATTATGTCAGCACCAGTTTTGCAAAAACTTAAATGTTAAACAAGTTGAAACAAAAAGAGCAAGATCTAATTGGAGCAATCGTTAGTTTATTGACAAACTCAAATTAGCAAAAAGAAAAAAAAAATACTCAGGTGTCACAGAAATCTGTCACAGATGAAATTTAAACAAAGACTAACATAAAACATGATTAATGATGCCTCGATGTGAAAATTGTGACCGATGTTAACTAATAGTTAACAAGACTTTAATAAATGGAACCTTATTGTAAAGTGTTTCCGATTAATGTATCTTGAGTTTCATCACTAGATAGATTATTCTTTTTTTTTGTTAATTGAAAGTGTGGTTTATGTCATCTGAATGTGTGGAAAGCTTTTCAGAGAAGAGAAGGCAACGATATTTTAGCACAATTCACAACCAGTGGTAGTTCAGGTAATTAACTTCGGTCTTCCAACCTTTACCATCGTGTATTCTCAAAGATAATCAGTTAACTCAATTCATTAATATGCATGAGGGAGTGAGAGAGAGAGCAAGACAGTTTGAAGACGGCGAGAGTGCACAACCAGGGCGTGCACAACCAGGGCTTTCACTCTCTCTGCTCGTTCTCTCAGTTAAACAAGTGTAGTCAGTCAGTTAGACTTGTAGTCAAGACCGCTTCATCTAAGACCAAGACGCTACCAAGACCAGAGGGTATCGAGACCAAGACAAGACCAAGAGCACCAAAAGCAATGAACATACCACAGTAGATGATGAAGCCGGAGAGAAGGAAGAGCCCGTGGAGTCAAAGGGGTGGAGGGACGAGGTGTAGCCAGAGGACCTAAAGTCCATGGCAAAACCAAGGTGATGACTGTCCAAGGCAGATCCAGAGGAACGAGGGAGCATGGCGAAGTCTGAGGGATAGTGGACCAAGGTGGAGCTGATGGGTCAACAGCCCGAAGTGGAGTACAGGGCTCGGACTGGAGACCTGAAATCCCAAGACGGATCCGAGCTGCTGGTAGAAGCCTAGTGAAGGTGGAACCAAAGGACTGAAGGGAGCCAACAGAGATGGGGCCAAAGAACTGGATGGCATAGGTAGAGGAGCTGGGAGTGGGGGGCTGGGTGGGTGGGATCATCAAAACAAGGTGTTACAGAATTATAAAAACCATGGACAGAATAACCACACCAAACATAGACAAAATTGGAACAACGACTATCGTCTCAATATATACTAACAAAAACTAATTGAGGGAACAAGAAAAACAATGAATAACCATAGGAAACAGAACAGGAAACAATGATACAAGAAAAACATCTAAGAGTCAAACTCAAATAGAGTCAGAAGGTGAAATAACGTGACACTGACTGTGTGAAAGGGGCGTCTTTCCGGGTTCATGGGATCACAAAACTCGCTCCTCAACCACAAAAATTTCTCTGATTGCTGATATAGTATTATCACAACACCTCTTGAGAATTTTTATCTGAAATACTACTTGTGTTTCTCAGATGCATCTTTCTATATACTGTAGATTCTACATAATTTCTACATTTTTAAATAAAATAAATAGGGAAATCCAATGGTGGACACTGCTAAGACTGTCCATTTTAATATTTGCTTAATTTCTCTGCTCAATTACATGTGTTTATTATAAGCAGCCACTATAAGCGGGAAACAGATAAATCAAATAATTCATCATTCATGATGCAAGCAACCACAGCACATAACCTTCAGTAACACCCACATCTGTAACACACAGTCCCAATTCTACAATGAACACAGATATGTTAGTCCAGTCCTTGGCAGTACATGATAAGAATTGTAACAATTTGAATAGTTTTCTTACAATTCTGTGTGGTCTATGGATATTGTCTGTATTGTTTTGATCTCATGGCTGGTCTCTGTCAATTAAATTCCCACCAACTGGAGGTTTAGGAGTTATCTTCCATGTTGGCTTGTGTTTTGGATGTGACGTGTTATCTCTGGATGCTTTGTTTTCTGCCTGGTATGTTACTCATAATTCTGCAAGTGGGATCTCAGCTGTTACACACTCTTCTTTGTCCAACCTGACAACTCCATTTGACATTTCTGTTGTATACTGTTTTTGTTACAATTTCCTTTGGAAGAACAATCTGAGACTATAAGACAGACTGGTGTAAGCTAAACCAAAACGCAGAACCCTAATGTTTTTTTTTTATCATTTAGAGATTTGCATTGAGGGTTATTTAGTTAAGTGACCCAAAGTAAATGGCAAAAATTATGGAATGGCTTGGAAAAATAATTTTACTATGGCCTCAAAAATGTTTTAAGACCTGAAAATTGTCTTTGACACTGTTGGACCAAAGTTCATTGAAGTATCGGTAGGTACCATCTTCCAAGTTTTAGTTTAACTGTTCTCACAATGAAGACCCACACTTGTTTCCTTAACTACAATATATCTACGGGCAGTTTCAGATGGTGCTTACAAAATTGTTCAAATTGCTTCGGATTTGTTTGCTGTTCATGGATGCACAATGATTTTCAGTGACAATCCATTTTACAGCCCATCATTCTTTCTGCAATCCAACTGTAACATGTTCTCATTTCCTTACTTATCAATACAATTTTAGATTGGGCAACCAGGGTTTAAGAATCTGAGAAATAAGAACTAAATTATTTCAGGTAAAACAAGGAATGATATCTGCAGCTGAAGTTAGGACAGTACTGAAATGGATTAAATATCGCTCTCCACTATTAGCGCTTGCTTGGAAAAATGAATTCAAATAGAAAAACTTGTCAATATCCAGCACTAGAAAAAGTTATTTACTTTTATTGGGGCACATTTTGCTTGCCTTTAATGGCGGCCTATATTTTAAAATTGATTTTTTTGGTTACAATTTAATTGAATGTTAATTAAATACATGTGTTTACTATAGAGTTATATTTAGGGTTAGTTACTTATAATTATGCATAATGTACTGTAATTTCTATCCTTGTGTAAATACGTCACCTTAAAATAAAGTGTTACTAATTTTCTTTTTTAAATTAGTAACTTTTGGCAGTGGGTTTGTAGTTCCCTGCATCCTTTGCATAGATTGAGAGTATAAGGAGAGTTAACTGTTGAATTTGATTTTAAATGTTGAAATCAAGTGTTTTTTTAAAAATGTTTTTATGTGTTTAATGCTGTTATGGTTGACTAAGAGTTTCTGTTGTTGAGTTCTTTTTCTGGTTAGTGGTTATCATTGTGCTGAAGAGTAATGTGTGGGTGGCTTAGGTTGTGGTTGGCTATTTCAAAGAATACATTACTTTATGCTATACCAGTAGTGGCAAGTAATATTTTACCTACTAATTTAACATGGTTTTCTATATGTTTATTTTTTACCAAAATACATATGAAGAGTTCAGATGCAAAAGCCTCTAAATGCCATTTGAAATTTTCTTCTTTAATGATGATTTTTATCAAACTTGTATATTTAAGTTCAGTAATTTCACTTAAATAACAATTAATAGGTAAATATCATTGCCATTTAAGTGAAATCACTGAACTTAAATATATAAGTTTGATAAAAATCATCCTTAAAGAAGAAAATTTCAGATGGCATTTAGAGGCTTTTGCATCTGAACTCTTCATATAAAGAATTTGTTCCAATGACACCACTCAAGCAGTTGGAACAACTTAGTTTCATTAGATGTTGTCATATCTTTGAATATTAATGCAAACTGTTGGATGATATTCATTCATTCATTCATTTATTCACAATCAAAATGTGTGTTAGAGTGTGTCAGACTACATTTAATGCATGTGAATGTGCTATTATGGGCTGCACCAATGATCCATTTCAATCTACAATTCTACCACTTGTAGACATGTTGGGTTTGAGTCGACTAGTTGTGGATAAACCACAACGAAGCTAATCAAGGCTGACAGGACCAGCAGTCACTGTGAATCTGTCAATGAAGATATGCATGCTTCTCACCTGCATCATCCACTCAAACACTGCAGCACTGAGCCGGAATTTACTGGATGACAGGTCAACTAATGAGTAGTCATGCATTTATTTAAACAAGTCCATATGCTACTGATCCATTGGGTCATTCCATGTCAAATCAACCAAATACTTTTTATGAAGAAGGAAAAAAATAAATGAAAATGGGTAAAATTTAACAGTTCAACATGAAGTCGCATTTGAATTAACTGATTGAACCATATTAAAATGAAAACTAAGATAAGATATAGTTAATACTTTTGATAATACTTTTACTTTTTTAATAATTTTTAAATACTTTTTTCAATATTTTTTTAATGCAGAAATACATACAGATTTTTTTTCAAAATACATATATAGACCAACGAAGGAAAAACAACCACAGACAAACAACAATAGAAGAATAGACGATAACAGTATTTGTTTTTCAGATATTCCTCTTTAAAAGAAAAAAATATGTAAAATAGTTCTTTGATGTTCCCAAAGTGTGTATGTGAAGTTTTAGCTCAAAATACCACACAGATATTTTAATGTAGCATGTTAAAATTGTCACTCTTTGAAGGTGAGCAAAAACTCACCGTTTTTGTGTCTGTCCCTTTAAATGCAAATGAGCTGCTGCTCCCGACACAGAGGGCGGAGTTTCAAGAGCTGATGTCATTTTACCGCACACAGACATGCACTGAAAATTTCAAAAACTTGTAGCCTTTTATGTTCAAACCGAAGTCAGAAAGATAGAGAGACTCAAGAAAGTATAAAGACAGTGAGTCTTTCATTGTTTAGATGCGAGCTGGAATGTTTAAATTGAATATTGTTCTAATTTTGTTAGAAATGTACTGTGTAATTTCCTCTGATTTAATATTTGCCTTGACTTCTTTTGCCATTACTCCATTTGAGTATATGATCCTGGCCACCATCATAGCCAACTGTATTGTTTTATCCCTGGAGCAACATCTTCCTGGTGAGGACAAGACACCTATGTCCAAAAGGCTGGTAAGCATTAAAAACACAAATATCTAGAGAAACATAACTAAACCTTCAAAACGTTTGCTACTACTTATACTACTTATTATTTATATTATTTGACTCCCAGAGTCCAAAATAAACTAATGTCAACCAACAGCAATTCCTAATGAACATGGCAACCAAATCTTCAATTATACCACCACAGCACATACACTTTCTAGTTTTTCAACCTTCACTATCACTATCAAACCCGGCCAATTTCCTTGGCACAAATTTAGCAAATCTCAAACAATGCATCCTAACACTGTACTTATAGTTTCCCTGGGCTGGGTTAGAGAGTATGTCCCTACAAAAGAAACTTGCTAACAATACTAACTCTGAAAATGAATCTGATCATTTGTTTTGTTTAATCATTTTATCTGTTTGTTTATCATTGGGTCCATTAGGAGAAGACAGAGCCTTATTTCATTGGGATCTTCTGTTTTGAGGCTGGTATCAAGCTGGTGGCACTTGGTTTTGTTTTTCATAAGGGTTCCTATCTCAGGAATGGCTGGAATGTAATGGACTTCATTGTTGTGCTGAGTGGGTAAGTGATTTTTTTTCAATACTTCAAAGTCATGAAAAGTTTGATTGAACAGGTGAGAGCTATACAACCATTAAAACATTTTAAAAAATCTGATAGGATTGTAAAAAGGTAGTAGGTGTCTGGCCTAGAGTTCTCCTATGTGTAATACCGGATAGGCGCGCACCATTATCCGAAATAAAAACAGGCGCTCTCAGGTACAGGAGGATTCTCACATGGTGGCTTGATGTCCTATGCTGTCTTAAACTACACTTTAAAGCACTTCTTCATTGGGGCATTTTCAAAGCTTACTCTTTTGAATGAGTAAAAGAGAACCGAATGAGCCAGTTCTGTCAAAGTTGGTTATCCTTGGAAAACGTTGACAGATAGAACTGGTTCTTTTTGAGTCGGATATGAACAAAAAGCTGACTTTTTTTAACTCTACCTGTAGGTTTGATTCAATCAGTCAGTAGAGTAATTTGGTTTAGTAAACCATCTGGACATCCTTATTGGCTCATTTGGTGCTGTGCGCTACTTCAGATGGGTGTGTTGCGTCATCAACCTGGAGCTAGAGTCCGATTCAGTTACATTCTGAACCGGCTCGACAGATTACGGCTTAATCGCTACTCCATATCCCACAATGCAGCTATTTGTAGTTTGCTATTAGTTACACAATGTTACAAGTATCCATAGGTACATATAGAGTGCTACATAAAAAGATTAATATAAAACATAACTGTAAATAATAAATCAGCTCCATAGAAGGTTCCAAGTGATCAAGGGCTCAAGGCATTCCGCTTAAACCCATTGCACAGGCTCCGTCAGTAGTGGGCACTCATGCAACGTAAGCAATGTCCATGAGTTGGAAGGAAGTTACAGAAAGAAGGAACACATTCCTAAATTAGAACACAGTCACTACTGGATTTTCTGCCCTACAGGATAAATACATTTCTTGGCTGCTGGGCTGAGTTTATGAGTAGGTTGTGAACAGCAGGCCACCTCCTCAATGAACTGTTTCTGTTCACCTCTGTTCCTACTTGCCTTCACAGTTGTGCATTGCATCTACTACATTAGAGTACAAAAGACATTACACAAGTTGAAGTTAGTAGATGCCAAAAGACTCAATAGTTTAGACCTAAGTTTTGTCTGATGAGGATATGGTGAAATTAACTACTCACATATATTACATGCATTAAATAATTAGGGTGGAAACAGATTGTATGACAAAAACTGGACTGTAGAATCCAAACAAAAAAAAGTTCTGATTATGATTGTGAAGACCAAATGTACGTATATGCACACAAATATACACACAGAATACATCTCATTTGTTTAACAACTAATTATATTGACACCATCACACCAGAAAATTCTTCATTCAACATGATACGTGTTAGATAATAACGTGTGTAATTTAGGCCAAGTTAAAGAAACATTCAGTTTAACAGGTCACACACAATTTTTAAATACATTTGTCCTTCGGTTAAAGAAAACTGTTGAATGTTTTGGCTTCCTCTCATTTTAGTGTTTTGAAAATTAACATAAAAGTGAATCCAGTTTAAAGGAAAAAGGAAGCTAATGTGCAGGGAGAGAGGGGAGCCAAGAGAGTGTCGACTAGACAGCCCAGGAAGTCTTTGAAAGGTCTGGAGACCAGACATATGATCAGGGAGGGACAGGATGGTTGCACCAGGGGGGCTCTGGTGGGTCTGGAGACCCGGCTAACGGCCATAGCAGAGCCAGGGAAATGGACCAGGGGGGCTCTGATGGGTTTGGAGATGCTGCTGACGGCCAGAGTAGAGCCAGCGGGATGGACCAGGGGGGCTCTGGTGGGTCTGGAGACCCGGCTGAGGGGCAGAGTAGAGCCAGCGGGATGGACCAGGGGGCTCTGGTGGGTCTGGAGACCCGGCTGAGGGCCAGAGTAGAGCCAGCGGGATGGACCAGGGGGGCTCTGGTGGGTCTTGAGACCCGGCTGAGGGCCAGAGTAGAGCCAGCGGGATGGACCAGGGGGGCTCTGGTGGGTCTGGAGACGCGGCTGAGGGCCAGAGTAGAGCCAGCGGGATAGACCAGGGGGCTCTGGTGAGTCTGGAGATGCGGCTGACGGCCAGAGTAGAGCCAGTGGGATGGACCAGGGGGGCTCTGGTGGGTCTGGAGACCCGGCTGAGGGGCAGAGTAGAGCCAGCGGGATGGACCAGGGGGGCTCTGGTGGGTCTGGAGACCCGGCTGAGGGCCAGAGTAGAGCCAGCGGGATGGACCAGGGGGGCTCTGGTGGGTCTTGAGACCCGGCTGAGGGCCAGAGTAGAGCCAGCGGGATGGACCAGGGGGCTCTGGTGGGTCTGGAGACCCGGCTGAGGGCCAGAGTAGAGCCAGCGGGATAGACCAGGGGGCTCTGGTGAGTCTGGAGATGCGGCTGACGGCCAGAGTAGAGCCAGTGGGATGGACCAGGGGGGCTCTGGTGGGTCTGGAGACCCGGCTGAGGGGCAGAGTAGAGCCAGCGGGATGGACCAGGGGGGCTCTGGTGGGTCTGGAGACCCGGCTGAGGGCCAGAGTAGAGCCAGCGGGATGGACCAGGGGGCTCTGGTGGGTCTGGAGACCCGGCTGAGGGCCAGAGTAGAGCCAGCGGGATGGACCAGGGGGGCTCTGGTGGGTCTGGAGACCCGGCTGAGGGCCAGAGTAGAGCCAGCGGGATGGACCAAGGGAGCTCTGGTGAGTCTGGAGACCCGGCTGACGGCCAGAGTAGAGCCAGCGGGAGGGACCAGGGGGGCTCTGGTGAGTCTGGAGACCCGGGAGAACTTTGGGAGCTTTGGCGTCCCGGCTTAGGGTAAGGATGGTGCAGGGAGCTTGGTTGGAGCCAGAAGAGCAGGGGAATTGGGCGGCTTTGGCATGACCTCTTTGGCCGTGACAGGGAGAGTGGCCAACTCAGGGGAGGCAGCAGGGAAGTGTGTGCAGCTCAGAAACACATAACTACAGAGGCATTATGGGAGAGGACGGCCTCCTCGGTCGGGCACGGCTGGCTAGGATTGCCTCCATGGCTGTGACAGGAAAAGCGGGCTGCTCTGGGGCCATGTCTTCTAATGGGGCTCTGTTACTGGGGCTCTGTTAACTCCAGGACAACCAGACTTGGGATCACAAGACTTGGGAGTTCTGGGAGAGACGGAGAGGCATGTTGGAGCGACCACCTCTGGGGGGGGTTGCAGGAGTCACAGGCACCTGAAGAAAAACTGCATTGAGTGAATAAAAGATTTGTTCCTTTACATTTCCCAACGCACTTTTAATGCGCCAACTTCTTGCAGCAAAGAAAACTTGTTTTAAATAGATCGTCTATTTCACGCTATTAAAAGTCCTCTAAAATCTATCACTGGAAGAACATCCACTAAAATATAATAAAAATATTAACATTTTATCCAAATGCATAACAACGTTTAAATTGCTGTCAATGGTGTAGTTGCAGTCTGTGCTAGCCAGCCAAACCTTGACCCTGTTGTCAAGGTAATGTGGGTGTCTACAACAAGAAATCAATTTGCACCATAGATTTTAATCCATTTAATAAATGAAATTATGACAAATCATGCCAGATCTTTTTTTTCCACATTTGAATAGATGTTCTTAAAAGGTTGGAAACGGTCTGACATTGATTTTAACACACATCACATCAAGGAAAAGTGTAATTTCTTTCTGGTTGTATAGGCATATTACAGTGCATCGACTGGACCTAATTCATAAAACATTAGCAGAACATATTTCTGTGTAAATTGTTCTGAAATCCAGTCTTACTAATTATTAAGTTAAATGCAAAATGGTTTTACAGAGAAATTAGTTTTTGCTCGTTTTATGAATGAGGCCACTTTTGATTTTGATATCTAAATGCTCATAGGAACTGTTCTTAGTTTTGCCTGCAAAGATCCACATGACTGTATATTTGTATACACCCTTAAAAGAATTTCAATTTTTCTCTTGAAATGCCAGTTTGTCTTTCAAAATTCTGATCTTGAAATGGTGGTTAAAATCTGAAATCAGACCGATTATCCCTGCTACATATCTGACACACTTTTGGCTCCAACATACCTGACCTCTTTAAAAACAGTGAAAGTAAGTCAGACTTAAAAGAAAACTACATGTGTCAATTCACTCATCTGGGAACTGAAACAAGGCCAGTAGGCCATTGCTTGTGGCTTTCATTTCATCTGAAATTAATGATTAGCTGCGAGTGAATCTGCTGGGACAGAGCCAATTTGATATTTTTTTTCTTCACAGGTCTGCTGGGAACATATGGAGAAACTTTGCATTTGACATGATAAAACAAATATGAGTATAATAATGTTGAACTGACAGCTCGCTGCTGTACTCTCCCGCAGTAGCTCACATGTGTCCTCCACTATTTTCCATAGCAATGGGTCATTCTCTACTGTAAAGCGACGTCTGGCTGATGGTATTTGAGCACAGTGATAATTTGATTGATAATCAAATTTGTTGCTGATTAGTTTCATCACTGATAACAATCCGCAACAAACAATGAGGTTCATTCTTGTTTGTTACGCAGCAACTGACTTCAGCTGAACATTAACCGAAATGCATTATTTATCACTGTAAAGCTGCTTTGAAACAATCTGTATTGTATAAAGCGCTATATAAATAAAGATGCCGTTTGAGCTTCAGCAAGAACCAATGAGGTTCATTCCTGTGTTAAGGCCCAGACACACTGGGACGAATATAAGCGTGCGTTATTCGTCAGCGTTTTTCAAAGTGTTTTTTGTGTTCTCACCCAAGCGATTTTCGCTGACGTTGAGCTGAGTGAACATGCAAATTCATCCCCTGACTTTAGATGGCACCCATTTGCTCTGCAATACCACTCCATAACAGTTCTCTTTTATCAAGATGTTTTAGTCGCTGTCGCGTTTTTCATATAGTTCTTGTTCTGACACCAACTAGACCAGCAGCTCTACATTCATCTTGCCTCGCATCTTCCTCGTCTTATTTCTTCCTGGCAGTGTAGACGGCGACGCTACTTGGTGTAGATCTTCTTCACC